GCGCGAAAACCCAGGGGGGGCGAAGACGCAGAGGGTGGGCACGGTCGACTAGGGCCGGCCGACGACGACGCGCCCGACGCGCCACCCCCTGCCGTGCGCGCTATGCGCGCCTGCGCGACCGCACAATCCAGGGTCCTGGCCGCGAGTTGGCCGCCCATGCGTCCGAGAACGCAGCGCCGAGAGATAGGTCGAAGCAAGGCGGCAGGCAGGCAGGCGGCAGCGGCCGCAGCGGGGAGCGGCGGCGGGGTCGCGGCGGCTCACGCGTCGTTGACCGACACGCAAGCGATGGTGGAGACGCCCTTGGCCTGCGTTCATGGGGCGCGGGGGGCGCCCTGCATGGTCAGGCGTCTCGAGCGGTGGCAGGGGGAGCCCGTGCATGCCCACCACCCGGCTGAATCCTCATCCTGCAATGCCGACTCCAAAAGATTTGCATGCGGCCGTGGTGGGTAGTGGCACACTGCACCCTGCCAGGCCGGGGGAGTCCCGCCGGCGCATGGCTCAATGGCATCAGCAAAAACGCCCTGCAATTTTCTGCAGCGCCTGCTCTCCTGCCCCACGTGCGTGGCAGTTGCAATCCTCCTGCTACCTGCACGCATGCACACATCCACACACGAACAGTTGCACACTCACCGCTGCCCGCAAACCCTTTGCGATTTGCAGCCACAACACTCGAACAACTTCACACACATCCGCTCGCGTTCACACGCACACACAAACAGTCACCGTGCGTGCACATGAGCCCCCCTCTCCTCCCCGTACCTTGATCTCCTCGGCCTTCTCGATGAACCCCGGCAGGTGCTTCATGCTGCACGTCGGCGTGAACGCACCCGGCACCGCGAAGAGCACCACCTTCTTGCCCTTGCACAGCTGGTCCGTGGTGATCTCCTTCATGTTGCCCTCCGCGTCAAAGTAGCGGAACTTGGCGTCGGGGAGCTTGTCGCCCACGGCGACGGCGCGGACGGCGACGGAGAGGCCGCGGGCGCGCTGCGGGGCGGCCCCGGCGGTGCGCAGCTGCCGGAGCGCGCCGCCACCCCTGCGGCGGGGGAGGGCGGCGGGGGCGGGGCGGGCCACGGTGCGTGCAGATTGCTCCTTTAACGCCCAATGGGCGGCGATCCGAGATCCACGCGGGTATTTCCTTGCAACCGGACGGCAGAACGCCCTTACGCCCCCATCCCTCCTGCCACGACATCCGCGGGGCCCAGGAGACAGTGGAGGCCCATTTGGTTGCGTGCAGCTACATCGTGCGACCACTCAGGCCTCGGGGGAGTGGCCACAGTCAGCAGTGACCAGGTCCGACCTGGCCGGGGCCCCCGCGGCCGTCCCCTGAAGGCCGTTGTGGGTGATCCGCGTTGCTCCTCACCTGCTCATGAGCCTCTGCATCTGCATGATGCCTCGCAAAGAACAAAACACCGTCGAGATCAGCACCTCGGCCGCACCTTTCACACCTCGCTGCAGGAGAGCTATTGAATACGACGCACAAGAACAACCGTACGGTGACGCGCCTGGGCCTGCTCCCAGCTGATGCACCGTTCATCGCTTCACGGGCAGCTGCTGCAGCGCTCACAAGACTTGGCGGCGCAAGTCAATGGCTTGGCAAGCAGCCCCAGCACAAGGTGTGCGTCGTTGCGTGTACAAGCAGCCCAGGTGAGCATGATGCGCTCTCGCAGCGCCCAGCGCTGGTTGCGAGCCCAATTGCTAGCTCACGCTGCCGCACCCCTCTGGCACCCGCGCCCCCTTTTCTAGTGCGATGCCGACGCTGAAACACACACACGTGTCGCCTCAAAAGCCCTTGAATTGTGCGTTATAGACAGCCAGTCAGGTGTTTGCACGCCGTCCATCGCCAACCCACAACAGCCAACGCAGCAGGAGCCATCACTTCCGCCGCTTCTTCATCGCCGGCTCCACCGTCGCCACCGCCGCCTGCTGCTGCTGCTGCTCCGCCCGCTGCCCGCGCGTCTTCCGCGCCGCGGGCACGGGCTCCCGCCCCTCCGCCTTGTCCAGCGCCGCCTTTCGCGCCTCCAGCGCCCCCACCCTCTCTGCCTTGCCCGCCTGCGCCCGCTGGATCCTCTCGTAGAACTTGCGCTGCTTGCGGCTCATCATCATCGCCGCCAGCCCCTCCTCCCCGCCGTCCCCCTCTCCCGCCGCCGCAGCCGCCGCACGCTTCGCGCGCGTGGGCGCCTCTGCCGCGGCGCCCTCGTCCTCCTCATCCCCCTCCTCGTCGACAGAGGGCTCGTCCAGCGCCTCAACCGCCCCCGCGCCGCCCGCCACCTCTTTCGCGAGCCCCCGCCTGTACTCCCGCTCTAGCGCCGCCGCATCCTCCTGCCCCGCGTCGCCGTCGCCGCCGCCGCCGCCGCCGTCCTCGCCGTCTTCGCCCTCCATGAACCCGGCGTCCACCGCGAGGCCGGCCGCGCGCTCACGCGCGCGCCGCGCCGCGTCCTGCGGCGTGTAATGCGAGTGAGGGCGAGGGCGAAGGGCGATGGGCGGAAGCTGGGTGAGGCGGCGCCAGGGCCGGAGGAACGCCTGGCAGCACGCGCGATCGGCCAGCACGCAGACGTGCCATAACGACAACGCCGCGGCGCGGGGCGCAAAGCGGCTGCGAAGCGGCTGCGGAGCGGGCGCCGGTCAAAGGGGGAGCGCAGGAGCCGGGGTGCAGTGGGGGGCAGGGCTCGCCTGCAGGCGCGCCACCGTCTGCGCGAAATCCGGCGTGTAGCCCTCCGCCTCGTGATCGACAAAGGGCGACAGGTGGGGCGGCGGGGCGCGGCCGGGGGCGTAGAGGTCCGCCGGCATGAGGACGCGCGCGTTGGCGCTGTCGACGACCCACTGCGGCTGCACGTAGGCGCGCGACAGGAAGCGGTGGCCCTGGGGTTGAGGGGGGGGGTTGGCGGGGGGTGGACGGTCATGGGCGTTTGGTTGAAGGGGTTTGAGCGCAGGGGGGGGCCGATAAAGAGGGTTGTGAAAACCCCACCCTAGCTCAAGAGGAGGGCGCTGGGTGCCGGCCGCGGGCGCGGCTGCCCGGTCGCGTGACACTGCTACTAGTGTGAGGGCGCACGCGCCCGCCCTCCGGGGGCGGCATTGCGGCGGCCTCCCCCATCACAAGGTGCGGGGTTGAAACATCCAGTGGGAAGTGGAGATGTCCAGTGGCAGGCAGGCGGCCGCCCCCGGCCCCTCCGTTTGGCAGCGATGCGCACGGCCCAGGGGCCTCTATCTGGAGGGGGGATCCCTTCCGCCCTGTGAAATGCGCGTCTCCGCCTGCCAGGCCTGCGCAGCAAGGCAGCCCCGCTGCCGCGGCGGCTCTGACGCACGACGCCTGCCCTACAAGCCATTGTGGGCCCACCCCTGCCCCCCACCCCTCACCTGGGTTGGCCTGTCGACCACCTGGTGAGTCACCGCCTCGTCAGCCTCTTCGTGGGGGGACCCCTCCCCCTCCCAGGCCGCGACGCCGCCAAACGCCCTGGGGGCAAGGGGCCGGGGGCGCGGGGCGCGCACATGATATCAGGGGGCGCCGCTCCGCTCCGAGGCACGCAGCGAGCGCGGGTG